TTTTGTTGAGGGAAGTGATCATCAGCAAAAAAAACAATGAAGACTTACTTTTGTTGAAGGTCATTTCTTCCTTGCCTTAGTTGCATTATCTGGAAATAATTGGCTTGATTCTCCCATAGTCTGAGTTCAAGTAGCAAAGAAGGCAGAGCCAAACAGCTACCTATATCCAAATTAATATTTATTCATTCTGTAAGAGTGGCAGATCCCTAGGAGGTTTTTTCACTGCCAGCAGTCAGTATCACAATTATCTTATAAACTGCAGAGAGAAAATACCAGCTGCAACCCATCTTGCTTTCTTTGAACATCTAAGGTTTCTCTAATATCAGGGATGGGTTGGACCAAGGTTACAGTATAAACATTTAGATGGCATTTGCACTGAAATTATTATGAAAACATGGTTATGGCAAAATGAATATGAGGTTTCAGTGTGGTTTTGTTTAGAAACATAGCTGGAAGAGTTCACAAAGCATAGGTGCAATTATTATTTAGTGTCATTTCCATCAGTAATGACTTTTCCTGTGTGATTCATTAATTACAGATGGTTGATTAATTTATTTATTGGGACTGCAGCATAATGATGTTATGCCATAAATGAAATGGATGGATACTACTAATTCAATTAAGGGCAAGATAATAAAAACAATATTTACAAAAAATGCACATTATGCATTCGAAAGGAATGTGTGCAACATAATATAAATATATACTGTAAACATACAAGGTAAAGAAATAATGCAAGGAGAGTAACAGCAATCAAATAGCATTACTTATTAATCAACAAATATTGCAAACTGCTCAGCCTCAAGATGCTGGCTATATAAAGAAGACTCTCTGATATAAATCAATCTTTCAGTTGCCCATCAGGTGAGCCAATCAGAGCCATTCCTAGAATAGGATGAACTGTAGTCATTGCCACATGTAAATTGGACAGCTGTAATTCACTGTGCATGGAGCTCATCTGGAAGGTAGTTTGGAAATTTAAGATGGAATTAAATGCATCTAGCTCCTGTATTCCAGATCAGATCCATTATTGGTATATTACATTGGTGCTAAGGGAGCTGCACTGGCTACAGGTTTGTTTCTGAAAACAATACAAGATAGTGGTTATTATCAATAAAGCCACATATGGTTCGAGGCTGGGTATTTTAGAAAGCACTTATTTCTTCTAGAACTTGCATGTCAAAATGCATGAAGAGACAATGCCTGGTGATGGCCTCCAATTTTGAGGATGTCTGATACGAGGCATGCAAGCAGAAATTCTCTGAGGAAACTTCTGTATTGTGGAATAGTATAATAGCATGAGGGAATGACCTTGGGAGACAGGAAAAAGAACTGTAGCCAGAGGACTGTCAGATAAGAGGCAGCACAGTAGGTATGTAGATGTGACAAATGTCTCAGAAGACCTGTCACATTTCTTGGGCTATAAAGATGATGGGGAGGGGAAGGGGAAGGGGAATGTACTTTTCTTGCAAGAGTCCATTAATGCAATCTTACATTAAACTGTAATTAGTTCATCTGGACAAGTTTTTTGCCTAGATTACCTTGCTACACTGACAAATAACAGGTGATAATAAGCTGGCAGGAAAAGCTAACACCCTAGAAGATAAGCTCACAATCCAGATGGATCTTGGCAGACTTTAAACTGGGATAGGTCCAGGGGTGGGACTAAAATTTCTTAACAACCAGTTGTGTGGGCATGGCCTAATTTGTGGGTGTGGCTTGGTGGTCATTTAACTGAGTGGGCATGGCTTGCTGACTGGGCTTGGCTTGGTGGTCATGTGACAGTAGTGTAACAAAAAAAATCATTTATGTATTTATTTATGTTTTTAATACCTGTTTTGTTTTTATGATTAATAAAAACAAAACCTATACTAAAAAATTATTAAAATTATTTAATAGGAAAAAGCAAAGGAGAAACAAACAGAAGTATCAACATGTAACAATCATACCGTGTTTCTCCAACAATACGGCTGTTAGGAATAACAAGGTTACCTAAAGTAGTTTGGGTAAAATAATATATATAAACTATGATAGTAAGTTTAAGTGTGTGTCACTTTAAACTGCAAAGCATGTAATTTTGGGTGCGGTTGTAAAACCGCCATAAGAGGGAGCAAGAGAACCTACTTGCTTGCTGGATTGCTGGATTGATGGTTTGCTAACTGCGTATTCCCTGCTGCTGAGTTTTTGAAACGTCGAAGGAAGAAAGGAGGTTTGACTTCTTTATATCTCTACTGCGAGGAGATATATTACTGGACTGATATTTGTAAGTTTACTAACCTCTTTTTCGACAATGGACTTTGCAACTGAATAATCCCCGAACGGACTGAACTAGTGAATGATATATGGACTGTTTGACTATGCTAAAACTCTTACTGGAATAAACTATTTAACTAGCACAGTGTATCTGTTTTACTGAGTGTAAGCTACAAAAACGTTTATCTCACATATTTGCCTGCCTGCCTGACTGCCGTGCACATTCTGCTAGGGTGTATCCCTAACACTGGTTATGGGCCCAGCTGCACAGTCAGACTAACCAGGATATAACAGGCTTATATAAAGTGAGAGTTAGTGTAGTTACACAATACTGTAAACAGACAGCTGTGTTTTATTAATTATAGTTTAATATCCAGAAAAAGATGGCACAAGTCAATTTACCAAGTTTGTCTCTAATATCCAAACTGGATGGAACAAACTATGTTTCATGGTCTATGAAATGCAGCCTACTTCTACACAGAGAAGGTTTGTGGAGTATAATTAAAAACCCACCAGAGGTAGATGCTTGGGATCCGGAAGATGAGGATGATGCCCAGAAAATACAAGAATATAAACTGAAGAATGAGCAAGCTCTCTGTATAATAGGACTGACACTCTGTGACCAGCAGCTTGTACATATTAGTGGAGAAGAAACAGCTGCGAAATGTTGGGAGAATTTAAAGAAGATTTATGTTCGAGACAGTGTAGGAGCATGTATAAATCTTACACGGAAGCTGTTCAGAACACATCTTCAAAAGAATGGAGACATGTTGACTCATATAAACACTATGAAGAAGATTTTTCAGGAACTGCATGAAAAAGAACTTAACTTCACAGAACTACATCAGGTTTATATAATTTTGTCTTCGTTAGATGAGAGCTATGACGACTATGTAACTTCACTGGAAGTACTGCCAAAAGATAACCTCACATAAACTGACATTACTGGCAGATTAATTGAAGAAGCCAGGAGAAGGCTTGAAAGGGATCAAATGAGAAGGGAACAACCACAAGAAGAAAAAGAATCTTCGACAGCCTATACAATTAGAAAATGTTTTAATTGTGGAGGAAAAGGTCATTTGGCTAGATTCTGCAAGAAAGGAAAATGCCACAATGCCAGCCAGAATGCTAAAAGGCATCAAAAGGATGAAAAATGTTTAGAGTTAGCCATGTATAGCAACGAAACTGTGAATAATAATTTATGGGTTGTAGATAGTGGAGTATCGCACTGCATAACGAAAGAAAAGATTTGTTAAGATGTCCACGAGTTCACAGCAGATATCGTTAGCTAATGGCTGGAAAATGAAAGCAAAAGCTGAAGGTATTGCACATTGTTCTTGCATAAAAGAAAATGTAAAAATGTTATATGTACCACAACTTAAGTTTAATTTGCTTTCGGTTAGAGTTTTGGTTAAACTAGGTTATGTAGTTACCTTTAGGGGAGAAAACTGCATAATAGAAAAGAAAGATAAAAAAGTGACTGCAACTTTAAAAGGTGAATTGTATGTGTTAAATGATAATCAATTAGAGGTAGTTAACACAGTGTATAATAACATTAAACCTCATGATGAATGCATACATTTGTTACACAGACGTTTAGGGCATATACATTTTAAAATGCTCAAGCAAACGGTTGAACTGTCTGAAGGTATAAAACTGAAGCCTTGCAGTAAGTATTTGCACTGCAATGCTTGCAGTCAAGAAAAAAGCAAGGTAATACCAGCAAATAGAATAAATGGATTTAAGACTAAGGAACCTCTAGAGGTCGTATTTGCTGATATTATAGGTCCTAAAAAACCAAGTGTGGGAGGTGCTCGTTATATATTAAGCATAATGGATCATTATTCTAGATATGGTTTCTGTTATATAATGAAGAGTAAAACGGAAACATATCAGAATTTCTTTAATTGGTTGAAGTTTGCAGAAAGAAAAACTAAAAGGAAACTAGTAACTCTTGTAACTGATAATGGTACGGAATTTATAAATAATAAATTCAAAAATAGACTGAAGATGGTAGGTGTTGAACATAAAAAGTCTGCACCATATAGGCCACAACATAATTCCTTTATAGAAAGACGAGGCCAAACAATACAGGCAATGGCCCGTACTATGTTGTCAGATTCAGGATTACCTGAAACTTTGAGGGGAGAAGCAATAATGTGTGGTAATCATATATTGAATAATGTTGTTAACTCAACAACAGGTGAATTACCATTCACACAGTGGCATGGTAGAAAACCTGACCTAAGCTACATGCACACATTTGGAGCACCAGCATGGGTGCATATTCCTACACAACTGAGACATAAGGGGCAGCATAGGGCTAAAAAGTTATTCTTTGTAGGTTATCAATCTAATCACAAATCATACAGATTCTGGGAAAAAGGTACATCTAGCGTTTACTGTAGTGCTAGTGCACAATTCCTTGAACATGTAGGATGGGAAAAACTGGAGCAAGATTCAAGTAAGGATGTAATCATAGAAACCTACAAAAGACCAAAACAACATATCAGTAATAAGTAGAGTACAATTAAAGAGGAAGTACAGGAAGAGCACATAGGACCAGAACAGGAAGAAATAGGTGAACAGGAAGAAATAGATAACCAGGAACAGGTAGTACATGTAAGTCCACCTGTAAGCCCTGTAATACCTAGACGTTCAACACGTGAAACCAGACCACCTGACAGGTACCAAGCAAGTGTAGTTTGCCAAGTTAGTAAAGTTCCAACTACTGTTGAAGAACTTAGAATGTATCCAGAAAAGGAACAAGAAAATTGGCATAGAGCAATGGAGAAAGAATTAAATTCATTGAAACAAATGGAAGTTTATGAAAATGTTAAATTACCTCCAGGTGAAAAGTCCATTGGCTGTAAATGGATATTTAAATTAAAAACAGGTAAAAATGGGACTGTTACCCATAAGGCTAGGTTGGTAGCTCAAGGATTTAATCAAACTGCATGTGATTATGATGAAGTATTTGCACTGAGTCTAAAAGCAACAACCTTGAGAGCAGCTTTAGTGTGGGCAGCTAAGAAGAACTATATTATAAATCACTTAGATATAGAAACTGCCTATCTGCATGCACCATTGCAGCACACTATATACCTAAAGAAACCTGTAGGAATTAAGGATGATAAAACAAATAATGACTGTTGGAAGCTTAAAAAGAGTCTCTATGGATTAAAACAATCTGGTTACGAATGGAACCAATATATTGTTAAGGAGTTAAACAATATAGGGTTTAAAGCAGGTTTAGCTGATCCATGTGTATTTAAGAAAGAGACAAATGGAACAGTGTCATTGTTATTTTTGTTCACTGATGATATTGCCTTAATTACAAAAACTAATAATGAAGCTACTGAAATAATATCATTATTAGGTAAGAGAATAACATTAAAGCAATTAGGAGAGATAAAACAGTATCTAGGATTAACAATAAATAAAACCAAAGATGGCTATAAGATATCTCAAGAGGATAAGATTCATCAATTACTAAAAACATACAAGATGGAACTTTGTAAACCGGCAAAAACTCCAATGAGTCAGGAATTTGGCCACACTGATGCTCAAAGTCCAAAATTCGATAAAACTATCTATCAATCGCTAATTGGTAGTTTATCATACATTAGTAATTGGTCAAGGCCAGATATTGCCTATGGCGTTAATAAATTGGCAAGATTCAACGCTGAACCCACTGAACGACACTGGCAAGCGACAAAACGTATCTTAAGATATCTTAAAAGGACAATGCACTATGCATTGTATTTGGAGCCAAAAGATGATCTGATTTTAAGTGCATATGCTGATGCAAGTTTTGCAACAGACATAAACACTAGGAAATCAACTTCAGGTACGGCTATACTGTTAGGAAAGGCACTGATGGTTGGAGTTCAATTAGACAGCAACACATAAGTATGTCCACAAGTATGTCACCTTTTAAAGTTGCAGTCACTTTTTTACCTTCCTTTTCTATTATGCAGTTTTCTCCCCTAAACTACATAACCTAGTTTAACCAAAACTCTAACCGAAAGCAAATTAAACTTAAGTTGTGGTACATATAACATTTTTACATTTTCTTTTATGCAAGAACAATGTGCAATACCTTCAGCTTTTGCTTTCATTTTCCAGCCATTAGCTAACGATATCTGCTGTGAACTCGTGGACATCTTAACAAATCTTTTCTTTCGTTATGCAGTGCGATACTCCACTATCTACAACCCATAAATTATTATTCACAGTTTCGTTGCTATACATGGCTAACTCTAAACATTTTTCATCCTTTTGATGCCTTTTAGCATTCTGGCTGGCATTGTGGTGTTTTCCTTTCTTGCAGAATCTAGCCAAATGTCCTTTTCCTCCACAATTAAAACATTTTCTAATTGTATAGGCTGTCGAAGATTATTTTTCTTCTTGTGGTTGTTCCCTTCTCAGTTGATCCCTTTCAAGCCTTCTCCTGGCTTCTTCAATTAATCTGCCAGTAATGTCAGTTAATGTGAGGTTATCTTTTGGCAGTACTTCCAGTGAAGTTACATAGTCGTCATAGCTCTCATCTAACGAAGACAAAATTATATAAACCTGATGCAGTTCTGTGAAGATAAGTTCTTTTTCATGCAGTTCCTGAAAAATCCTCTTCATAGTGTTTATATGAGTCAACATGTCTCCATTCTTTTGAAGATGTGTTCTGAACAGCTTCCGTGTAAGATTTATACGTGCTCCTACACTGTCTCGAACATAAATCTTCTTTAAATTCTCCCAACATTTCGCAGCTGTTTCTTCTCCACTAATATGTACAAGCTGCTGGTCACAGAGTGTCAATCCTATTATACAGAGAGCTTGCTCATTCTTCAGTTTATATTCTTGTATTTTCTGGGCATCATCCTCATCTTCCGGATCCCAAGCATCTACCTCTGGTGGGTTTTTAATTATACTCCACAAACCTTCTCTGCGTAGAAGTAGGCTGCATTTCATAGACCATGAAACATAGTTTGTTCCATCCAGTTTGGATATTAGAGACAAACTTGGTAAATTGACGTGCCATCTTTTTCTGGATATTAAACTATAATTAATAAAACACAGCTGTCTGTTTACAGTATTGTGTAACTACACTAACTCTCACTTTATATAAGCCTGTTATATCCTGGTTAGTCTGACTGTGCAGCTGGGCCCATAACCAGTGTTAGGGATACACCCTAGCAGAATGTGCACGGCAGTTAGGCAGGCAGGCAAATATGTGAGATAAACGTTTTTGTAGCTTACACTCAGTAAAACAGATACGCTGTGCTAGTTAAATAGTTTATTCCAGTAAGAGTTTTAGCATAGTCAAACAGTCCATATATCATTCACTAGTTCAGTCCATTCAGGGATTATTCAGTTGCAAAATCCATTGTCGAAAAAGAGGTTAGTAAACTTACAAATATCAGTCCAGTAATATATCTCCTCGCAGTAGAGATATAAAGAAGTCAAACCTCATTTCTTCCTTCGACGTTCCAAAAACTCAGCAGCAGGGAACACGCAATTAGCAAACCATCAATCCAGCATAGTCAGCAATCCAGCAGGTTCTCTTGCTCCCTCTTATGGCGGTTTTACAACCGCACCCAAAATTACATGCTTTGCAGTTTAAAGTGACACACACTTAAACTTACTATCATAGTTTATATATATTATTTTACCCAAACTACGTTAGGTAACCTTGTTATTCCTAACAACCTCATCAAGAGAGGCATTATGAACAAGGCAATCCAACACCTATTGGACATCCAGATCATCGAGCCGGTGCTGGAGGACCAAAGGGGGCACAGGTTTTACTCCATCTGGTTCATAGTCCTGAAGGTCTCAGGTGGTGGGGGGTAGAGAGCAATTCTGGACCTCAAAAAATTGAATGTCCACTTGACATACAAGAGATTCAAAATGCAAACTCTGCAGACAATCTTGGAGGGCATCAGAAGGGGCAACCTCCTGACATCCATCGTTCTGACAGACGCTTACCTCCACATTTCCATTCTCCCCTCAGAGAATGGAACCCCTTGGAGGTTCATCAGGTTCTACTATGCAGGGCACCATTTTCAATACAAAGCCCTGCAGTTTGGTCTGTCATTGGCCCCCAGAACTTTCATGAAAGTGAACAATCCTGATGCATGTCCAGTGGTATCTGGATGACATCCTCATTCAGTCCAGCTCTCGCCAGCAGGCACAGAAAGACCTGGAGATGATAATCTGTGTTTTTCAGGAACACAGGTTCTCTATCAATTTTCCAAAAAGTCACCTAGTTCCATCCATCCTCCTGTTACACTTGGGCGTGGTGATAGACACCAGGCTGTGCAAGGTTTACCTGTCTCAGGAACATCAGGCAGCATCAAGTCCTTAGTGTACCAAATCCGAGTGGAATGAAACATTCTCTTGGCAGTGCTTTCCCAACTCCTGGGAAAAATAGTATCATGCATAGTTATAGTTCCCTGCATTCGGCTACACTCCAGAACCCTGCAATGATTTCTGTTACCATTCCAGAGGTCAGGAGACAGCACCTCCAATATTCGAGTACCATTAGAGACACTCAGGTCCCTCAGGTGGTGGGTTTCCCCAGCAATGACCAAATGAACCCTGTTCAAGGAGCCCAGATACCTAACCTTGACCTCAGATGCCAGCCTCTTTGGATGGGGGGGGGGCATCTCCAGTGCCAGCTGGCACAAGGACAATGGTCCCAGATGGACCTCAAAAACAACATACTGGCTGGAGCTCCAAGCAACTCATCTGGCTCTACATCAGTTCCAGAGCACTATCAGGACAACACATATTAATCCTGATGGACAACATGGTTGCCAAAGTGCATGTCAACCAACAAGATGGGATCCACTCCAAGTCTCTCATGCACGAAGCAGAACAACTGGGACTCTGGGCAGAAACTCACTGTTCTCTATCAAGACAGAGCACATTTCGGGAGCAACAAATGCACAGGAGGATTACCTGAGCAGGACCAAAATGGACCATTCCAAGTGGCACCTGCACCCGGACTTCTTCAGGGAACTGTGCCAGAGATTCAGCTGTTCTGTGGTGGACTTGTTCGCCACCCCAGCAAACTCGCAACTGCCCAGATTTTCTCCAGATTTCCGATTCCGGGAGCAGAAGGTGTCAACACCCTTTGTGGCCCATGGCCCAGGGGCTTATTATATGTCTTCCCTCCTCTTTCCCTCACCCTGGGGGTGATCTGGAAGGTTCTGCTAGAAAAAGCATAAATCCTGCTCCTTGCTTCCCATTGGCCCAGACTGCCATGGTACGCAGACCTGGTAAGCCTATCAGTGTCCCGTCCTTGGAGAATTCCTCAGGAAAGGATTTTCCTCAGCCAGGGGGTCGTGGAACATCTGGAGCCTCAGTGGCTCCACTTGACTGTCTGGCACTTGAGAGGAGAATCCTGAGGAAGGACAACTTCTCAAGGAAGGTGATACAGACAATCCAGGCTTCCAGGAGACCTTCCACTAATAGAATTTATGACTCTACCTGGAAGGCGTTTTGCAAGTGGTGTATTAGGCAGGGCATAGACTCGACTGTCACTTCTATCCCACAGATCCTGGATCTCTTACAGGACAGTTTGGTCAGGGAGTTATCACCTAGCACTATTTGCAGACAAGTAGCAACCTTGTCCACAGTGCTGACTTATGGAGATTTGGACTCCCTCGCCCACCACCCAGTGGTGCGTAGTTTCATCAGAGGTGCGGTTAATTTAAAACCACTTGTGGTACTTGGGACCTGTCTAATGTCCTGCAG